CGCCAGCTGATCTGTTTTGGGCCTCTGTACACAACACCCCTTCCGGGCAAATGTTCACACCAATCGGATGCCATATGAACTGGCTCCTGAAGTCAAATAAAAGCAACGGTCACCCCTTCCCCCACTGACACACAGGCTCTCCCAAGACTGGCGTTACCCTGCACCCGTATGGCGTTTTTGAACGTGCGTCGTTCCCTTGTCTACAGTTAGGCGATGTATGGCTGACTCACTGGTTCTCGACTATGTGTATCCATTGTTAACGTTTTTACCTCGTTTATTCTTCACTATCTGTTTCGTAGTACAGTACGACATTAATTTTTGCTATCGTTGGGGTTTGACTTACGCCTTACTACTGGATACAGAGTCAAAGGAGGCAAGGAACTTGATATAGGTGTCAATGGTTGAGAGTCTATAGAAGGACCGTAATGACTTAAAAAAGCACGCCTAAACACGTTCGCAATTGCAACAGTCCAGGGTTCAGACGATAAATTACACAGGCAGACAAGGATTTAAATCAGTGGTCATTACCCATTTGCATGCAGATCTCTCCGATTGCCCAGATAGCATTGTTGCAAACTGAAATGTTCTCTGAGGACAGATTCTGTGCCAGGACGTTCATAAAGCTGCCAATCTGAGGCTTAATGTGGTTAAAGCAGACCTTCGTCAGGTCCCCGATCAACGCGAAGGTACTTTGCCGTACGTCTGGTTGAGGGTCTTGGGCACACTGATAGAGCAGCGGGACGATCTGGCTGTTGGCAACTAGCGGTTCGATGTGGTTACCAAGACCTTCGGTTATTCCGCTCAAGAGGTCTAACGACACAACCATAAAATCCTTATCGGGTTGCTCACACAAGTCCGGTTGTGCAGCATGTGCCTGGAATAAAAATGGGTGTTAGAGGATTGCAGTGGTAATGAACTGCAGTATAATACATTTAAGGTGTCATAAATACGAAAGAGGAAATGGGAATTAAAAGAACTAACCATGCTCTGTTGAATGGTTTTTTCAACAAGAGAGAGACATCTTGTAAAGACAGGGGCACAATACGGCAAAAACCCGATCCCAAGGGCTGTAGCCACACTCGAAAGGCACTCAAGAAGAGGAAAGAGGTCCTTATCGTCGTCTTTAAGAGCGTTCCATTTTTCAAACAACGCGGGCATAAGAAGGTCCTCGTACTCCTAGAAAATTAGGCTTTGAAATAACGTGGAAAAACCTTCCGGTTAAGCTGATGTCCAACAGAATCAGCAAGCGTTCCAATAGCGTCGTAAAGAATTATCAAGTTTTTGTGCTGATACTGACTGAGGGCAAGGACCAGTGTGCGAAGTATGTGTTCGAGATATGGAACCAAGTCCATACACGCCTCTTCTTCGAGCGTGGCAAAAGCGGAGCATGCAGACTCCTGAACACGTTTGTTGGTATCTAAAATCCTTTTTAAAAGCTGAAAATATATAGAGGGAGAAGTGAAGAGGAAAAAAGGAGAGAGGGAGATAAAAAAAAATGAGAACCTAGTGGAGTCTTACCTCGACGATCAACGGCCGAAGATACTGGTCGTGAGGCTGGCCAACAATCCAGTGTGCATAGCGGCTTAAAGTCCAACACGTTATGCTCCTTATCAGGGGTTTTTCATCCTCAAGTGCATCGATTAGAAAGGAGCAAAGTTCTGGAAGGTATATAACCAGGTCGTTCATGCAACCTAACGTATTAGTTATAACATTGATGCTGTACCTTCTGCGATGGCCCCAAGCACCAATATGCCTGATTCCCGAATTTCCCAACGTGTCGATAAAAGGGCCTCTTTTGTCATCGGCAACAAATGTTGCAGTATTTCGCTGTGAAAAACATTAGCCAACACGTCGACGGCAGCCGCAGAACATTTTCGCAGCGTCCAATTGCTAACGTAGTCATCGTAATCTTCATCTTCTTCCTTTGATAAGAATGTAAAAAGGATTTTTTTCATTTACCTCGTCTTCTTGCATCCTGTTTTTGGGTTTATGGAAGCGAGGACGAATATCACATTCTTTGTCAGGTACGTGAGAGTCGTTTTCTAGATCATTCTGAACAAATTAGAATGAACAAATTGTCTTACGCTTAGCAAAGCTAGGTCACTTTCTGAATACTTCATTCCACGTATGAGGACTGGAATAAGCCTGTCAAGATAACCACTTAGAACCTGGAAGCACAGTGGTATCTCGGAGAGCGAGAGCCAAAATTCACAAGCTTCCAGGGCTATTGCGTCGTCGGCATCTTGAGTACGTAAAAGCATATACTAAGAAACATAAATGCGAAAAGAATGAAGTACCTCAATTATGTTCTTCATATGCGGCAAAAGCATGTCAACGCGGACCTCGACAAGTAGAACCAGAGCCGAACATACGTTTTTTACCACTTCTCTGTCAACATCTTCTGCAAGCGCAAAAAGCGCCTGCAGGAACTCATCCATATGGGTCAGGAAGGCACGGGATTGATTTGAAATAAACTGATTGGCGCAAGACAAAGACAGTGCACTTTAACTCTATTAGAGGGGCGGCTGGCTTACCGAATTTTGGGTTGTGGGTGAGAGAAAAATTGGATAAACTTCGGGATAAGCGCTTCTAGAGCCGAAGCAAGACTTTCGTCCTCCAAACCATCTTTAGAGTCCTCACAAATTTTTTTCAACGCATCAAATGTTCCCTGAGAAACTTATAAAATGCGATAAATTACCTGAAGTAGACATTCGTCTTGCGAATTAAGACTTTCGATGAGCTTGGGGATAACTTCGGGCCAAGACTTAAGTCCCCCTATGCTTACTATCGTAGTTATAAGGGTCCCAGCGGTAGATCGTATCATAGGTAGAGGATCGCTCATGCAAGACAAGCATTCTTCCTTGATGCAGGCTATGACTTCCGGGGGGTGAGTGTGATAAAAGGATAGGAGGTTGTTTTTCAGTACAAGCCCGCTCATCGCACGCGTCATTTCGTCTGCAAAGGGTCAATATAACTGAGAATCCTACTCTCTGACGTGAGTTTCGAAAACACATACATCAGATACTTCACAAAATCCGGCCGAGTATTTAAATCGTTTAGCAACTAAAAAAAGTTTCCGAAAAAATTGGCGCAACGAACCACTTGAACATTTCTTTGCACATTTGTATCAGCTGACTGTGAGTTATGCAATAACTCCAACACCGTTTTGATGCCATCCTCGTGAGGTGCCCAGGCCATGATCAGATAATCTCAAAATGGCTACTGGACAATATTTGCGGGCAAAATTCGGCTGATTCAAACAAAATTGTGAAATTTATGTATTTATTATTTGAAGGGGTACAAAAAATCTCTTTTTACGGATAACAATGATGTTTTTTATACTGATCTTTTAAAATGCGTTCAATATATGGTACAGTACTACAAGTCATGCCAACATGAAGGAGTAGTCTCCTGTCAGCAAGCAATCACAGCTGAGGTTGTCTTTCAATTTATCTGCTTGAGGAAAATAGTATCGGTAATAATCGAAATGGAATCACATGATTACGTCAAATATTTTTCCAGCGGGTTCAGGAAGAGATAACGACAGAGCAGATATAAGCCCTGCAACGTACTAGTTGCCCAATGCACAACCTCCTTACAGCATTATGATGCCATTGGATTCGCGGACCTGCACACGCTCGAGTCTTTGTTCTTTTCCACTGACTCTGCAATTCATAGCCGGTGAATTCATCAGACGAAACCGAGAACCTCTTCGCCCATGCACATCTCGTCTGTTGCAAGATCGCGGTTCCGTGAAGAGGACGAAGACTCCAAACACACACTGCACTCGTGACGACTCATACCACTTCTGAACTGCTATCCTTCTATGAGCTGTATTTTTTTCCTGAAAAACCCTACTTATTGGAAGAACACCTATTACAAAACTTCCTTCCTATGAGTATTTTTGGAAGGCTCTGTGAAGGTGAAAGTAGGTCACAAGAACTGATTGTAAATCATCATAAAGAGTGATGGCTAAGAAAGGCTAGTAAACACAGTTTCCATGATCTTGCAGATAAAAAACAATGGTGAGGGGAGCTCAAAAGTGTTCTAACAAGGCAGAACTCAAACAAATCGTTAATCGAATTTTTTCAATGACATTCTGGTAGAGCCAAAATATTTCGTGTATCTTGTAACCTCTAACACTACATCCAGTCGTAATGCGTACGGCATATTCCAGTGGTAACATCGGCAAAACTGACGTATCGGGCCCCGCTAGTTATCTATCCCCCCCCACCCAACTACTAAACGTATTTCGTGGTCAAACATTTAATTCTTGGCTAGTGAGCTTAAATTATTTTGTAATTATAGCGGATGTGATTTAAAAATATTTGATTACAGAAGATTATGTTTGTTTTAATAAACTGAAATACAATAAAGTTTGATGAACATGTACTTCTGTTGCGCAGGTTACGAATGTCAATTAAGGGACATTCAACCTTATGTAGGCCAAATTTAACAAAAATGGAAATTCGTCCTCCTATTGGTGGAATTTGACGGAAAAATGCAAAGTCAGAGTACTGAACATTTAAAAGTAGCTTCTTGTTATTTGGAATTTGGAATTTATATTTTTCAGCGCCGGTACGGCACTAGCTGTACAACGTT